GCCGCCGAGTTCGCAAACAAGATGGCGACCGGAAGCGCCGACCGAGTTGGCGACCGACGCCATGTTCGATACCTAGGGTAACATTAACCGAAATGACTATTACCACTTAAACGTGAATCTGACATCAAAAGAATTGCCGGGAAATAATTCCTGCGAAATAAAAACCCCTTCAAAAAGTGTTTTTACAAAAAAGTATATAAAAAATAATAATAATTTAAAATAAATGCTTTTGTTTGAAAAATATAGCTTTCATTTAACATGGCGTGAAATTTCACACGTGCAGTATGCATTGTTTACAAACTGGTTGACCGTGAGAACAGCTGTAGTCCACTTTCCCGGGTAGTTGTCATGTACACTTCAGGAAAATATTGGTTTAAAGCAGGAGGTTTATCTTACCGCATCTGTTCAAATATAACACAAGATTGTCGATTTTTATGCTATTAAATTACGAGGGGACCGAAAATACAGGTATGGAAAAAAATTCTACTAAACAAAAAACAAAAAAGACCTGCTGATGTCATAAAAACATCCAATAGCGTTTTAAAAATTTTACCGAAGTGAATTCGGTGAAATAGAAGTTTAGAACGATTTAATTAATTTCATTAAAAATCTCCCATAAAAAACAATAGCGCGATTAATTACCTAATTAATAAATTGTGATAAAATATTTTCGCGGCAGAAATAATTCATGAAATTTGCACAGATCACAGATAACGATGTATATATGCTGATCCATACATTTTCAGAAAAGTTATAAGTCAAGACTTTTTTAATGGCATTCCTTTTAACTCCCTTGGTACTTTCCAATTTTTAATGTTAATGTAATTAAACATAAAAAATGTTTAAAACTAAAAAAACGAAAAAATGCGTTAATTTTGAAGAGAACGCTTCAAAGGTTATTTTCCATTGTCTTGCCTTTCTGCGAAATTTGACACCAAGGAGTCATTGTGTGTGAGGGACAAACAGACCCACAATAAAGTGTTATTTTAAATTTTAATTATTGGAAAATTTAATCGGTTAAATTCGAGCGTTTTATCGAGTTAGGCTAAAAGCCATAAAAATTATTTCCCACGGAGTTTGTTCCTTGTTGAGTCGGATCCAGTTAGTCAGGGATGTGTCACAAGGAACTTTTGAGGGAGAATCCATATTGGATGCGAGACCCTTAACGGCAACCACCTGACCTCATGGAAAAAAACCCAGGAGGAATAACGAGAGAAAGGAAAAAAGACCCCGAGGTCAGTCGTCATCCGAAGTCCCTCTACGAAAATCGTCTTCACAAAGTCCGCTCAACAAAAGTCGTACTCCCGAATTAAAGTCGTGGCCCAGGATTAAAACCGTGACCCAGGATTAAAACCGTGACCCAGGATTAACACCGAGAGGAAAAGATCGTGCCTGTTTAAGGATAACATCGCCACACCTCCGTGCCTCCACCCCAGGGAACGGACAAGATCAAGAACCAGTAGATTGAACTTTCCATCGGCGTATCATCATTGGCGTGACCACAGATCCTTCGACCCAGAAGCAAGGTATTTATCAACCCGCGATTTGCGTGTAAACTCTCTCTCTCGAACGGAATAGTATAATTAGGGATAGAATATATCTGTATTTTCTTCAGTTTTTATTAAAATTGTTATTTGTTAGAAAATATGGAGTCCGAGTAAGTCACTTCCTCGTCTCTCTCCTCACCTCTACTCCGAATCCAAGCGCTCCGAAGCATTTACCGAAGCTTTAGCGAAGCATTAGAACTTTAGAATGATGAATGAAATTTGATAAAAAAAAATCCCATTAAAAAACAATTAAGCGTTAATCGTGAGTCATTAAAGGTAAGTTAAAATCTCAATAAAATTTTTTCGCATGAGAAAAAATTTTGAGACTTAAAAAACATCCAAAAATCCAAAAAAAATTTCAGGGGGTCCAAAAAACCGTTTGTTTTCTAACCCTACGTAATTTGCCCGAGTTCTCTTGGGATAAGGGCTTAAATTAACTGAAAGTCAATGCACGAGATAACTCGGGATATGGACTGCGCAGCCCGAGTTATCTCGGGATTTATGGGCGGAAAGTTTATGAATAACATGGGAATCTCAATTATGAAATTACAGTTAGAATTTCTAGTAAAGAAAATCAGCATTTTGTGATGATAAANAAATCGTTAAACTAATACGTATACTTTCACCTCACATATGAGATATCTCATTTTAGGAACCCCCACGTATTTCATATTGAGAGCACATTCAAATTTTACAAAATGGCTGCCTAGTTTTTTGCTGACAAAGAAAACAATAGTACTGCACAAATACTGTATCGTAAAATTGACCGAATAATTGATACGATGAATCTAAGTTAAAAGAATTTAGAGTAATAATAACGTTGTTACATACCTCGTAAACATTTAATGTCAAAAAATTTGTTTTGTGCTTTTGTGAAAATCTGCACACCCACGTTCTAACAGCGCCTCTGGCCAGGGCTCACTGACACACGTTTGGAGCTGTTGCCAGGACGCTTCGGAAAACACTAGAGCCAAATAGTTGCCGTTAACAATACATGCAATTTCAACCATCGCATTAAATTAATTATTAAACATGATTTAAAATAAAATTATACTAAAAAACTAATTTCATTGTTTTTTAATTACCTTATTAAAAATACCTATTTTAATTGTATCGGGGTCGCGGGTCACTTGGCTTTTATAAAAGGGGTCGTCACCCGAAAAAGGTTGGGAACCGTTGATCTAGTATGTTGCGAATCCTTCTTCGTTTTTGAAGGCCAAACATATAAACAAAATAGAGGGGTTCCTATGGAAAGCCCAATTTCAGGGCTCCTATGCGAGCTTGTTGTTAGAAAACTAGAAAGAAAAATACTGAGTAGCTTTGAAAGAGATATTGTATACTACAAGAGATATGTAGATGACATATTCATTTTATGGAAAAACAATCGAGTAATTACTGAGTTCATAGATAGAGTTAACGATAACGAGGAAGTTCTTAGGTTGAAGCTAGAACAAAAAAGCTCTATGTAGGTACATTTCTTAGACATTAGTATCATATTTAGGAGAGGACGTATATCCACCAACGTATTCATTAAACCAACACATAGTCCACTATATATCCCTGCAAACTCTAATGACCCTTATAGGTATAAAATAGCAGCGTTTCGAGCATTGCTTAGGAGGGCCTTTATATACTGCAAAAACATTATAGACCGGGATGCAGAGTTAGAAAGAATTATGCAGTTGGCAGAACATTGGGTTACAAGAAAAATGTGGTGTTTCGGGCGTCATTTTTCAGCAGGTCGGTTAAAGGCTTTGCTATGGCTGCATACGAATTGATATGACGTCGATAATACCCAGTTAATCCTAAAAATGATTTGATATCATGTTTGGTTGTGGGTTGAGGGAAAGATAAGACGCAGTTGATTTTATCGGGATCGGGCCTTACC